ACAATGAGTACACAGGGAAAAAAAAAATCATCTTTCGTAGATGCGAATTAGATCCGATCGATCTTAACCAGCAACTCGGAGAGTTTTGTAGCACATGCGAGAGGAGAAGACACCAGACGTTAGCCATGTCGCAGATCTGAGGGATAAAAAGCCATCCAAGGAGCTCCCCTCAACTGAATCGGACAAGCCAAAAACAAAATCCAACAACACGCCGCAAGACAGCAAATGGATCCAAACCAAACCAAAAGAATCAGACGAAATCGATCCCGCGATCGGGCGAAAGCAAAACCCAAAAGAAATCAGACGACACAGCGCGTGCGCCCAGGGGCTCACCGATCTGAAGCGCGCACGCGCCTGATGCGAGGACGAGAAGAGGCCGGAGGCGTTTCTAAGATCTGGGCGGCCGCATCAAAGAATCATCATCATCACCATCATCATCATCATCAATAACAACAACGAACGAAAGCCTCTTCAGCTATCTCTCTGTCAATCTCTTTCGCTTCCTCTCCTTTTTCGGCTTTCGATCAATAAATAAAAGAATTAATTACGGACTTTTTCTTAAGCTTTAACGATTCCCAGTTCTTCCCCAATTCCGCCCGCCTCATGCGACAAATGGAAGGGAGCGCAGCGGAAGAATCGGTGGTGGTCTTGACATCAACAATATATCTGCCTATCCGATGCAAAGAGAGAGAGAGAGAGAGAAGAGAGAGAGAGAGAGAGATGGGAGGGGAAGAGTATATAGACATATATAAATAGGCGTAGAGGAAACGGGTAAGGGTGGATGTGGGGTGCGCGTGCGATCTGGCTGTCATGTGCTGTGTAAGAAATGGAAAGAAAAGTTGGTAAGACTGTGCTTTGGTTTGCATTTCTATTTGTTTATTTTTCGTTAAATTCGACTTAGTCAGAAAATTAAATTCACCGTTAATTATCATCAAACTATATTTAAAATATTTTTTTTACTATCCTATAATCTTAGGATAATTTGATAAAGTCGTCGACACTAATTAACATATTTTCAATCCTTAACTTTTGATAAGCGAAGATATTGTATGTTCTCATACTTTAAAAATTATTATGATCGTAAAAGATTAAAAATAAATAAAAATTTTTAATCAATATTAATCATAATTAAAGAAATTATTATTTATGAATGTTAAAGAAAGAGGTATATACAGAGAATAAAATATGTTAAAAATATTTTTTTACGTATTTATATCATCACAAAACAGAAAATTTAATTTTTATTTACGGATGGCAGAGGATAAATTTATATAAAAAAATTATTTTTTTACAGATATATACGTATTTATAAGTTAACAAAGCATAAAAATAGCTAATTAACATTACTATAGATTAAGAATCTTTTGAGTATGTTATA